TTTTTGTGACCGCATTTCATTTCAGCCAATTGATCCGAGACCTCATACCCAATACATTTCCTCTTTCAATTTCTCAGACTTTCTCCCTATTAAAGGATCTTTGGCTCTGTTCATGTGACTCTGGATTTCTTGGTTTAGGGTGTTAATCTTGTACAGCCTTTAACTCGCCGAATAAATCCCTGTTTTCCCACATTGAGGAGTCCCGAGAAGCTGTAATCACTGATGGGCATTCATCATCCTCCAACCAGAACTTATCCTCTGACCATCACAACGCTCTAAATTTGAATTCCTTCTTTCGTTTCACTAGTACTTGCCTATCTAGTCTTTTCTTTACAAAATCCTCCCCTTCTCTGTAACCTGTGATTCCACACGTTTGGGGCATGAAAAAATCATGCGATAAGTCTCCTCTATCCTCTTTCCTGCTTTCTTCCGGTGATAAAGTACTTCATTAAAGTCTAGCAACTGATTTTTTTCTTCTTAATTAACTGTAGCACCATGAGGGTATTCTCAAGCAGTGGACTCGATAGCATTTGTCCTAACATGGTATTCACCGAGAGCTTTTTCTTTCTAAAAACAGAAATCCCTTCTTGAACAAGCCATTCATAGAGGGCATTAGATTACATCTTATTTTATGCCATTTGCTTTTCCTAGGATTAGACGAGGCAATCTCTGCTAGTACACCTTTAGGGAGTGAAGACAAGTTATTGGCATCTAGTATCCACTTCCTCACATATCATATATATATAATGGCCTAGGATCTAGGGATTATAAATAGAAGAGAAAGTGTATAAGGGGATTATAAATAAAGTTAGTCTAAACGTTTACGTTTATTAGTACTAGATTTGTTAATTATATGTTTGTTAATTATATGAAAGAAATTCAAAGATTCTATGTCTATGTAATAATCAAAAAAACTCAAAAAGTTCTACAAAGGTTTGTATAATATCATAAAGTAATTCTAAAGTAAAAGTAATTATATATAAAAATCTTACTAAATAAAGAAACGATCTATAAATAAAAATTAGATTAAATAAAAAGATGAGCATTATAGCTTAAATAAAGATCATAAGCGACATATAGAATTAGAAGTATAATTACTAAACCGACCATATAGGTGGTAAGGATAAGTAGAAATGACAAGGGCAAAACGGTAAGAAGAAGTAAGGGAAAATTTCAAATAGGTACCCAAAATGGGGTCATTTTCTCAAAAAGGGTCCAAAGTGGACATAGTATCAAATAAAGGCCTGAAGTGTCAAATTAGTCTCAAATAGGGGCTCGAAGTGCCCAATTAGTCTCGAGTAAGGGCTTGGGTTCGCCGGCCGGTCAAATGCTCACCGACCAGCGAGCACGTCACTGTTCCGGCGATCGAAACAAGGGCAATTTCGTCTTTTACTCTCTCTTTTTCTCTTTTCCTTTTCCTTTTCCTTTTCTTCTTCTTCTTTTTTTTTCATCTTTTCCCTCCACCGGCCATAGCCGGGGCCGGCGGCGGTTGCCGGCCTCAGGCGGAGGCCGTCCTCGCCGGCGTCGGGTGAGGGTCGGGCGAGTCGCCCTCGCCTGCGTCGGGCAACTTCCTTTCGCATGATCTCTCCGCCTTAGCTCCTGTGGCCCTTTAGCATAATTCGTTCAGAACATAATCTGTGTCTCATCGTCTCTGGAGTTCTTGATGTTGACTGTTCATGAGCTTGGCTCAGTATTTGCTTTATGAGATTTTTGCTGTCGGTTCCTATTCCTGTGTTAGAATACCCTTGTTTCACGCTGCATTGTCTGGGAAATGGTCCTTCGCCTATTTGGTTGTTGATCTATATTGGTCTAGTGCCGGCGAGGGCCGACCCTAGGTTTCCCTCGCCAGCGTCGGGCGACCCTCGCCCGATGCCAGCGAGGGCGGCCTCCGCTTGAGGCCGGCAACCTCTGCCGGCCCCGGCTATGGCCAGCGGAGGGAAAAGATGAAAAAGAAGAAGAAGAAGAAGAAGAAGAAGAAGAAGAAGAAGACGAAAAGGAAAAGAGAAAAAAAAAAAAAGTAAAAGACGAAATTGCCTTTATTCTGATCGCCGGAACAGTGACGTGCTCGCTGGCCGATGAACATTTGACCGGCCGGCGAACCCAGGCCCTTACTTGAAACTAATTGGGCACTTCGGGCCCCTATTTGAGACTGATTGGGCACTTCGGGCCCCTATTTAACACTATGTCCACTTTTGACCCCTTTTTGAGAAAATGACCCCACTTTGGGTACCTATTTGAAATTTTCCCAAGAAGTAAGGATATATAACAAATGCAGAAAATTGCCTTAAATAAAAGACAGACCAACCACAAGCTGTTCAACCTGCTGATTGCGGGGTAAGTAAACTAAATTGCTTTAAAGTAAATTGCAATTAAGTAAAGTTTACTGATATATAAACAGTATCGAAAGATTACAAATGCGAATATTAAAAGTACAAGTGCAAAAGTAAGTAAAACCCTTTATATCCTCAGATCATGAGTAAGATCTGGAATATAATGTGATACAGGGATGCTATGAAACTCACTGGATATTAAAGAGGTATGGAAAGTTCTTGAGATGTATGATCCCTTATTTTTTCAAAAGGAAATTGGGGTGAAAGGTGGAGAAATCAGAAAAAATTCAGAAGTTCTAAAAAAAATCGGTGCCTTCCTCCGATGGATGGAGTGGGATTATATATGCCAATGGGTTGCTGTAGAAAAAGGTTCACGGGTAATACTGTGGTGCACAGCAAAAGGTGAATAGTAACCTGAGGTGGACATAATTATGAAAGCATATGAAAAGTGGACGGAGGTCTTTCGACGTCTTTGTCTTGTTTCTTCAAAATCTAGATAAAGATTCCGGAGGGTCTTCTTCTTCTTCCTCATCTTTCACTTCTCCCCATGGGTTGCCTGGTATGCCTAGAATACCATAACAGTTATCTTCATTTGAATTTCCGTTATGATGGGATTGTAAAGAGTTTGAGTCTTTCAGTTGAGAAATGACTTGTTTATCAGGAATATCTAGGCCTGTTTATTAACAAAGCCCTGATTATCCTGAATCCAGTCCTTCTGAAATGGAAGGCCCAGAAATTAATGTTTTAGAAAAAGTATTTGTGCCTAATAAGATTCTTTTAAATCAAGAATTTAATTTTTTGAAAAATAAGCAAATCAGAGAATGGTTCTTTGCCAAATTCAAAGATCAAGCCAGCCAAATCAAAGAAGAATATTATGAATACATGTATCAGCATGAAATTTAATTGTTCTTTTTGGATTGGTTTGAAGAAGAATTTTTAAAAGAAAAGTAAGTTTTTGTTTTAGATCAATTTTATAAGTGGAAACTAGATAACGGCCAAATAATTGAATCCAATCATCCTCCTCTAAGAAAAATAAAAATTCCGGTTTGATTATTACGTAAGTGGAAAGCAACTCGAAACCTGCCAAGTACAGATTTCCAGTTTGATTCTTGAGAAATCGATTTATTTGCGTTCAAAATTTCCGGAAATTGATTTTATGAAAATTCCATCTGGTGTTCCCAAATCACACTGACCATTTTATTAGAATCTGCGAATTGCTCATGAGTTTACGAAAAAAAGTTGCCCGCTCCTTGCCAGAATTACTAATCCCCGAAAGGAAGAAACCTACGTTTGCAATTTCGAAATCACAAATCAACATGGGAAAAATTATTTGATAGGATATGTCCCAAATTACTAGAGATGTTCCAAGGCAACTAACTAATTTTGCATAGATTTTTTATTTTTTTCTAAGTCGTGCAATTACCTAGCAAATATACTACTCTTTTATACTAGAATACTTACTTTCTTGATCCAGAAAGTAACTCACAATTATTGCAAACTTACTTCTCAGGCTATACGGAGACTCACTTTTCTATATGAAAAGAGTTACTATTGTTGAATCGGAAAAAACTAATTATTTCGTGATTTATTGATTTGGATATCGGAGTTTCGATATTTGTTATTGGGAAGTACAATTATCGCGACCCTCGCAATGGGTAAAATGCTAAATGCCCCCCCCCCCCCCCCCCCAAGGCAAGTTAACAGATTGCCGAGGGAACACAAGTGATTTCTCTTGCAAGATGACACTTACACTTCACTAGGGTTCACCCGTATCCTATCGATCGCAAATCATTTTCTCAATTAATTATGGACATAAGTTTTTATTCGGAAGTTGCCACTAACCTATAATGGGCCGATTCAAGGACAACTAAAACGCGCGAAGTTATTTTGTTTCCACAAACCAGAATTTTCGAGTGTGGACTTGCAAAAATAGCGCACGCGTGTCAAAGAAAGTTTAAACTTTGGAATTGGGATATGCGTTGTTATTTTTAATACATTGAGGTTAGTAACAATGGTAAATTACTTAAATGTACGGAAAGAGAGGGATCCGAACCTCTTTAAACAAAAAGCTTACATAGCAGTTCCAATAATACACCTTGAACCACTCGGCCATCTCTCATACATAATGATATGTCTCAACAACCGAAGGAATAGTCAATCATTCATACTCAATTCCTATATACTTTTTTATTGGCATTGGAAACATATCACATCATCGCAGAGTAATGTTTCACAGTTTAATGAATTTTTCACTTATTTGATGGGATGGTGAAGACATTATTTATGGTTAAACTCTTCACAAAAGATAGTAAAAGGGCAATTCCCAATATCGGAAATTTTTACTATGCATGGTTAAAACATTAGAGATGATAGATCATGGGAAGAATGTGCATCCCAAAAGATAGTTAAAGGGCAATTTACAACAATATAGTGATAGTAGCAATCGATAAATATATGTATTATATAAGATTGACAAGTTTAGGTAGTGAAAAATTTCGCAAGGAAAACCAACGTTGGGAATCCAACAAATTGGCTCTTGCATTTTGCACACTTCTAACATAGTTTTCTATGCACTTACACGAAATATAGTACAAATGTAATGCAAAATATATACGCCTAATGTATTCAAATATAACAGGAATATATATGTCTCAATGCATTATTCTTGGATGTCTCCGAAGATACAAACAAAATAAAAGCAAAATCAAACAAATAAAACACAACAAACCCGCATGGAAACACATAATAGTCTACTAGTCTTATTGATCAGTCGCCACATACAAAGGCCTAATTCACCCTAAATGATCATTACATGAACATTTCGTGACGCTCTGGGGAAGCCCATCACAAACACAGCCCTTTGTAAGTAAATCGAACGATCACCACCATGACCATCAACTTCATTGGAGAGATACAGTTGGAGTTCTTGCATAGCACGCCCATAATATAGCAAATACCTCAACAGATTATTTTCATTGACAGTCCCTCGAAAACCCTTCACCTCCACCACCTTCAACGTCCGGATGACGCACTTGTAAAGCCTATCTATATCACCACACCAAAATCTGCTCGGATTGAACTTGAACGGTGGTTGATAATCCTTAAGAAAGTTGATAAAACGTCAAATATTTATGTCGATATTTCATGTTATGAATTTGAAAGCTATTTACTAGCACATTGTTGAATCGTGATACTTTATCTGAAGAGAGAAAAAGGATGATGAATCACTCCAACATAACATTAACCGATACCTATGAAAAGAAATCTAATGCAAATTATCTAATGTGCCAACACAAATAATTCATGTAAGGCTTGTTTTCTTTGAATGAAATAAGGAAGGGTAATGTGTGCACTTACAGGGAAAATTCTTGGAGGGCTGATTTGGAGAGTTAGCGTTTCGAGAAAAGGACAACTCTTGAGGAAGAAAGCAATCCCCCAAAACTCATCCCGATGTACAGCAGTGTTCAAAATAAGATGCCGCACATTAAGAGGCAATTGCATTTTCAAGGGCTCCACCCCAGTTGGAACAACCTGATGAATATATGATAATACCGTTATTACACGAACATGTCTCGCAATAATAAAAAAATGTTTGTAACAGATAAGAAATTAAATAATAAAAACTGTTAAAGGCGACAATTTTCAAATTGTATGAATGCGATTATAAAAGTGACAGTGATTTGTTTCTAAAGATAAGTTTCATGATGTTTTATTTACTTAAGGGAACATTGTACGGCCAAAAAAGATAAACAACCATGTAAATCCTTGCAGATTATGTCACCAAGTGGTCGAAAGAAATATTAATCACATGAAGCATATGGAGGATTCATTTAAAGAAAACCCTAAAAGTACAAGAAACCGAAGGTACGCATACCTGAAGCATGAAACTACAAACTCTCAAAACCCTAGCGCAGTCCAAGGATGATAGAAGTCTTTGAAGAAGATCGCCACCGGATTCATCGAATTCCGACTCGGATCCAAAGTCAAGTTCAGCCTCTTCCAAATGCCTTGTGAAAATTAACTCAAAAATCCCTACAGACCCTGAATACTTGAAAAACCTCAAGTTCGGTGCCTCAATCCCAAACCACTCGTGATAGAAATTGCAATTGTCAACCACCAATGTCTTCAGCGCCAAATCCCTCTCAAAAATGCTCAGATGCTCGAGGTTCCAACATTTTTGCAGCCTCAAACTCTCCAAGAACGAACAGTTCCGCAACAGATCATTCAGGGTAGACATTCTCACTGCAGTCCAACCAAACGAAATGTGCTTAAGCAATTTCAGATTCATCAACCAGGCCGGGTTGAAACTGCATGCAAACAGCGTCAACGACTCAAGACCCAGCGTGACATTTTCATAAACTTGCATGGGGAGATCAAACTCCGGCTCGTGATTCTCCATATCATTCTCATCCCACGTCGGATCAGAGAAGTCCAGTTCAAGCGCTCCAACATTACGGGAAACGGCAAATGAAATGCACTTTTGCACGTCGGCTTCGAACTCACGAGGCTTTGATATACGGAGCTTGAACCTTCGCAGGACGAGTTTGGAGGTGTATTCATTTAGCCAGCACCGAACAAAGTTGATGAAATCTTGTCTTTGAAGACGTTGAGATTCAACAGGTACATTGTCTTTAACAAAAAACCGCTCGTCGAACTCAATGTTCGCCGTCAAACGCCATAGACAATGCCACCGCCGGGATAGTACACTCATTCTTGCGGCTTCTTTAAAGGGCAAGAAGGAGATGACGGTGATTATTAGAGCGTCGGTCATGTCGGAGAACATGTCCATGACGATTGAGATTTTTTTCTTCAAGTAGCATAAAGTTTTATGCACTTGTTCGTTTGCTATCTGGACATGCATATATGTAAGGAGCGAAGAGGCACAAAGCTAGAATGATGTTTTTCAAACATGCCTCTTCGCTGAGACAAAGCTAACGAACGAATAACTACTTGACATTTTTTTCTTTTCAAAAAACAAATTGGAACAACATGATGGTTGGAAAATGTGAGATACTAGCAATACGGAGACCTCCCGACCAAGCATTCCAATTCTTGGAATTTGGCAACCGGGACTAACTTTTGAGCAATGGCCGAAAATAATCCTCTTGCTACGAATACAAATATCAGTTACCAAAAAAACTGTCGAGGACTATCTAATACGAGATAAAAACATTTGGAAGATCAAATTCTAATAAAGAACAGCTTTATCAAATTTTCTCGCTAGGTTCCATTCCCTCTGTTTCACATAAATTCATCCTAGTAATCTCTCTTTTGCATGACAAGGTAATTCACACAATACAAGCCACATAAATGTCTGGGCTTTAATTGATAACTTACCTGTTGTTACCGAATCCGATCCTTTTCAAATAATTCATAATATCGTGGAGGTTCCAGGTCAGTCCGGTTTAAGGGTAAGGCTTGTTCGGTGCCTGGGTCCTAATTTTTCAGGGACATGACCATTTGGACCATGGCTATCCCTTGAAAATAATAGAGATAATGGGATAGTGCCGGATCACAGTAATGTGATAACGAAACTGGATGATTTAGAAAAAAAAACATAAACTTTATTATGTGGCCAAAATTGGTGAGTAAAAACCACTATCAATTTCTTAAATAAAAAGTAGAGGTTTAGAATTCGTTATTTCACTTCGAAAATTGATGTTAAGGAAAATTACCAAAAAAGTCCAAAACATTTTTAGGTTTTGCCAATTGAGTCCATCCGGCTAAATTTGGCCCAAAGTTGCTGATGTAGACACCAAATGTGGCATACCCGATGCTGAAGTTGATAATTTTTTTAATATTTTAATAATTTTTTTTGTATTTTGTACGTTTTCTTGTTCCTTTTCTTTACTTTGTTTCTTGCTTTTTGAGTGAAAGCCGACGACCCTCGCCAATACTAGGCCAAGGATGAGACGCCCGCGCCGGCCAAAGCGACCCTCTATGAAAATTTGGGATTCTTACAATATGCTCCATCGCGTAAGTTTCAGTGTCTTATAATATTATTTATTTAGGTTATAGTGGGCACAATCTTACTTGACGTAAACTATCTACAGTTATGGCAGGTCCACAAACTCTATTTTAAATTAGTCAAAATAACTCATTTCAGATTTAAGATGGATAAAACAACCTCAAGAGGGCTAGTGTATTGGCATTTTTCTAATTTTTGGTGTATTACTTTTTGTATTAGTGACGAGGCACATAGAATATTTGACAAATGTAGCCATTAAAAATACAAGAAATGTAGTGTGAAAACACAATATACATCAAGAATATCAGTTGAAATGGAAAGCGTGTCTAAATGAAAGCGAAAACGTGTTAACATATTATTGGATGGTCAAGGACACATGTTGTGCACAGGAGGCACCACATGTTGGCACCAAGAAAGTTGGTGATTTTCGCTATTGTCTATAAATAAGAGAGCCTTCTCTAAGTGTTTTCTGATTTTTCACAAGCTCCATCTCTCATTTTTCACAAAACTAGAAAGATTATTATATAGTAATCAACTTCACGAACAAAAATTATGTGTGCATTTCGCGCCCTTATTTTCTCAAAAGATGGCCCAAAGTAGACTTTATTTCAAATAAGGGCTTAAAGTGGCCATATAAATTTCAAATAAGAGTCTAACCTCGCCAGCCGGCCAAATCTTCCGACTGGTCAAGGGCATTTTGTCCAAAGAATTTTTTTTCTTTCTTTCCATTCTTCCTTTTCCAAAAAATTATTAGTGTCAGATTAACCAAGATAAAATGTGAGGAGCAAAAAGCCACAAAAGCTAGAATGATGTCTTTCATGCATGCCTCTTCGGTGAGACAAAACTAACGCACGAATAACTACTTGACATTTTCTCTTTTCAAAGTATATATTGGAACAACGTGATGGTTGGAAAATGAGAGATACTAGCATTATGGAGACCTCCCCAATTCATGGAATTTCGCAACGGGACTAACTTTTGAGCAATGGCCGAAAATGGTCCTCCTCCGATGAATACAAATGTCAGTTACCAAAAACTTTCGGAGGACTATCTAATACGAGACAAAAACATATGGAAGATCAAACTCTAATAAAAGAGCGGTTTCGGGGTAAGGCTCGTTTGGTGCCTTGGTCCTAGTTTTCAGGAATAGGACCATCTGGACCGTGGCCACTCGTAGAAAATAATTTAGAAAATGGATCATTTAGAAAGAACGTGAACTGAATTTTATGACGAAATTAATGAGTAATGACCGCTATCGTTTTCTTCAATGAAGAGTAGAGGTTTAGAATTCGTTATTTTGCTTCGCAAATTGATGTTCATAGAAAATGCCACTGGAATTGTTCAAATTGACAAGTTCTCCTTTCTGTATTATTTTCACATTTCGAATCAAGTTCGTGCATGAAGTTTCTCTTATTGGATGTCCAACCATTAAGCGATACTTTTTCTTCATGCTTATCCGTGCAATAACTTGCAGGCCATGCCTCGTGTATTCTTTCTTATGTTTCTTTTTTTACAACAATTTACGTTATCTAAATAAATTTGTGATTCTTTCAATATACTCCATCGGTAAGTTTCAGTATCTTATAGTATTATTTATTTAGTTTATGGTGGGCACAATCTTACTTAATGTAAACTATTTATGGCAGGTCCATGTACTATATTTTAAATTAGTCAAAATTATTCATTTTAGATTTAAGAGGGATAAAACAACCTCAAGAAGGCAAGTATATTAGAATTTTTCTAATTTTTGGTGTATTAATTTTTGTATTAGTGATGAGACACATAAAATATTTGACAAATGTAGCCATAAAAAAAGCATAGTTTAAAAACACAATATACATAAAAAATATCAGTTGAAATGACATACAAATCTAGATGAAAGCGAAAACATGTTAAAATATTATTGGATGGTTAAGAACATGTGGCGTGCACAAGAGGCACCACATGTCGACACCAAAAAATGTTGCTGATTTTCGCTATTATCTATATATAAGAGTGCCTCCTCCTATTGTTTTTTGATTTTTCACAAGTTTCATCTCATTTCTCAGTTGAAATGGCATACACATCTGTATTTCACCGATCCAAAACTTGCTTGGATCAAACTGAACGGCAATCGATAATCCTAAACAAAGTTGATAAAACGTCAAATATTAATGTGGATATCTCATGTTACGGGTTTGAAAATTATTTACAGTTGTGTGTTGTCGAATCATGATAGCTCATTGGAAGAGAGAAAAAGATCATGAATCACTCCTAGATAACATTAACCTATACATATGGAAAGAAACCCAATACAAAATATCTAATGTGCCAACACGAATAAGACTTGTTTTCTTTGAATGTGGGAAAATTCTTGGAGGGCTCATTTGGAGGGTTAGGGTTTCGAGAAAAGGATAACTCTTGAGGAAGAAAGCGATTCCCCAATACTCATCTCAGTGCATTGTAGTATTCAAAATAAGATGCCACATATTAAGAGGCGATTGCAATCTCAAGGGCTCCATCCAGTGAGAACAACCTGATGAACATGATCATATTTTTTTTGTTTTTTGGTAAGGGTAAACAACATGATCATATTTTATTACACAAACATGTCAAAAATTGTAAGAGATGAGATATTAAATAATGGAACTATTAAAAGAGGACAATATTGAAATGTTTGGTTAATGGAAACACTGTACGGCGAAAAAAGATAAACAAGCATGTGAATCCTTGCAGATTATGTCACCAAATGGTCGAAAGAAATATCAATCACATGAAGCAGATGGAGGATTAATTTCAAGTAAACCTTAAGAGTACAAGAAACACAAGGTATGCATACCTGAGAATATGGGACTGTGCTGCAGGCAGTTAGAGATGGAAAATCTCTTTCACCAGAGAACGTAGCAGAGCTAGAAGTGTTGATCAAAGAAGTATGAGAGCTTCTCACCCTTTAAAATCGACAATGGGGCAAACACGTTGGATTACAGGCCAAGAAAAGTGAATCAAGAGTGAATCAGCTTGTTTTTTTAGTAGAGTGGGAAGGAAACTAGGAAGAAAGTGTCCGAAGGAAACCAGGAAGAAAGTGTCTCTGGCAGTGATTAACAGTTTCCACTGTGTGTTTGTCCTATGATGTGGACATGTTGTTCTTGGTATGTTTGTGTATGGCGTCGTTAGATTGTGCACGCTTCAAGCTGCATTTCCTGTTTCTTTGAGATGCCATTTCGATCATAGCAACGCTAATTTTTATAGTTTCTTAATGTGAACTCTTTTTTTTACGGGAATACGGGTGCAAGATTATCTAATATGTAGCCTTACTCTCTTATATTTTCTCATCCTTGTTTGCAGCTGGAGCCCTCACCAACTACTGGTTCCCTGATTAAGCAAATCTGAAAATGACAATTATATGACTCTCGTAAGCCTAACCGCCCAAAATCAGAACCGAATAAAGGGACTGTTCGCCTTTTCAAGTTTTTTCCCCCTTTTTTCCTTTCTTTCTTCCCTTCTTCAACTTCCCAACTTCTTAGGTTCAATCGCATTTTTCTTGTTAGTACCCAAGTCTGAGACCGTCAACATATTCAAATGGACCAATATTCACTCAAAAACTTAAGCCAATGAGTTATATGTCAATTTGTATATATTAACTACTATATATCATACCAATTCTCCAATGTAAGATTTCTCTAATATAACTTGCACATACATCATTTCAATCTCTCCCTCACGCGTGAGTCTGGTGTTAGGTTTGTTCCCCCTCAATTTAGGTATCCTTTTGTATCATTTAATCTCAACTTAAATCTCTAAGTTATTTCAATGCATCTGCAACTATGCACAGCAACATCATC